CTGGGTGGATCATGAAGATTCACACATTTACAACCAATAGTGCACGTTGTAGTTGCCAAAGTCTTTGAAGTTTTCAGAACTCTTTCATAATATTCATCTTATATGAAACACAACTCTGTGGTTCTGGTGTCTGAAATCCATAGGTGAGTAAACCAGCTTTAGAAAAAAGGTGTGACTCTTCAAGAACTCATGGTGACAATTTGCTGTATTGGCACACTAAAACCATTTCAGAAAGAATGCATGGATTGTAGTTTTATTAATGATAGTTAATGATAGTAGTGAAATAAAATTAACATGGATATGATAGATTAATCAACATAAGATAGGCCTGGAGCAACTACTAGTTCAGTGTTAGATGGAACTTTCTAAAGCCAATTGACCAATCAGGGCCTTGCACATGCTAGGCAGGCACTCTACCATTGAGCTACATATCTAACCCCTTGTTCCTTCTAAAGGGACCCATTTGATCAAATCTTCAATTGCTGATTCCTGCTACAGGTACAATCTGATGCACCAATGGACGTTGGAAGCAAAGTGAATCATAACATCTTGTCTTAACAGAACCACTGTCTTTTGGTCCTAGCAATGCTAAAGCAGTCAAATGTCTTCTGTACAGGCTAAAGGTGTCATTTTCAGAGAAAGGTGATCTGCATACTTTGTCCTTGAAATTACGGACCAATTGGAAATAGATATTGCTGCACATTCTCTGGGACATCAATCATAGTCGGTGCCTTTGGAGTGTGCCAAATACTGAAAGCTGAATCAATCTCATCATCATCTGTCATAAATTCAGTAATGCTGTATTAACAGCACATTTAGAAAGCACAATATCTAGCCATCCTGTTGGCAACTGTATTTCAGAAACTTCTAGCATGAAACTAAGAAGTGACAGATGATATTGGTACCCCTATATCTGAAAATACAGTGCACATTTCAGGGCATAAATTAAATTTAGTGTTCTTCCCTGTAGTTCTGTGGTTTCATATAATTGCTCAGTTGTGCCTGGGCCCTTGTACAGAATTTTCCTTCTTTCTAGTATGAGTGAGGCCTTCCCCTTATTCAGCTCCTTCATCAGGCTAATTGGCCAAGCCTTTAAGACTAAGCTTAAAAATAATTTCCTCAAGCATTACTCTATATTTTATCTTCATCGAACATATGCAGTGACTCGACAGCTCTCAGCACATGAGAGTTCTCAACACACGCTTGTTAAATAAATGAAAAGTTAGGTGCACTTCCCTCTAATCTTTTCCTCAAGGCATGCTGGTTTTACCTGTGTCAAGTAAATTTTCCTAAGATTTGAATGACTTGTATATCTGGTTTCTGAAGGTAAGATTTTATTTTTTATGATAGGGATTGATTCTTGTTCAATTCTTTATCCCAAGACCTATGTGGTACCCAATACCTGTGGAATAAATGATGGGTTTGCTGTTCTAGGTCCGTAGGAGTCTGAAATGCTTTGGCTGATCCTATTGAGCTCTTGTTTTTCCATGGGTCACACAAACCTCAGGTCCTTCTTAAGAGGGTGTTCTGTGTTAGCATTGTTTTTCGGTTTCACTTGGAAGAAGGTGGAAAGAGAGATCATTCTGTTGAAACAGGGTTTTCATGAAACATTTTTTGAAGGAAATTAATACCAGAGATCTTAGATGTGTAATGTTTGAGAACAAATATACCCTACGCAAGAGCCAGTCCATTTGCCTCTTGTCTTAGGATCAGTAAAAGATGAATAGAAAATACTTCACGGTTGAAATAAGAGAGGCTCTGATAGTGAAAAATGGCAATGGATTGAGGAGAGTGTGGACCTCGTCTTACTTCTGTTTCTCATTGAGAATGTTTCTTTAGCAGTAAAATTAACCAAGGGAGCTCAAAGAACCACTTTCTCCAACAGCCAACATCCCCTGTCATACGTTAAACGATAATCACTTTGGTTCCCCATCCAACTTTCCCTGACTTTACAATATATTTTCTAATTCACATTTAAAACATTTTTATCTCAACTGTGATTATATAAGGAACTCATGATAAGCAAAACCATATTGCAGGAAATACCTTTTCTTGTTTTTTTCCTTCTCCCTCTCTCTTTTTGTTAATGCATAGTTTCCATGTATTCTGCCCTTTCCCTCCTTCACACGCCCCTTTCTTTTTCTTTTTGTATCCCCTTTACCCTCTTTGTTTTTCAAGGGAAATTGCACTGGGGTAGTTTTGATTCACTTCCAGGTGATTACCAAAATTTTATGTTGTTAGAATGACTTGATACTTAAAATGCCAATTCTTTATAATTAAGTAAGAGTGGACTGAAATTGATAGCTTTGGGTTTTGAAAGGGATTATATTTCATTGGTGCTTCCAGTCGGGGGAGGAGGGAATCCCGCATTTCAGTGGTCCCATGATGGAAATGAAGAACCTAAGATAGACATATTGGACCAGGGCTCTTGACTGGGGCCAGCTCTCCTGACCCTAAGAATCAGAGATCCTGACATCTTGTTTTTTGCTTTGTCTACTTGGCCTTGTGCCGCATTTGTGATTTCTCTCTGCAAAGTGGTTGTTTCCTCTGTATTTTCCTCCTAGAGTCTTTTATTTTATTCTCCTTATTCAGTGGTGCCAACCTTGTCATTGATTTATGAAGGACAATTGCAGCCAAACTCCAATGAAATAAATGGTGACATGTAGATTTCTTCTTCCAAGCTAAATAACAGTCACAGACAGATTACTCACAGAATAATGATTTTATTTGGGAATGACAGAGCATTGTAATGGCAATACATGTGCCATAGTAAAGTATGAGTATATTCAAGAAGGTCAAGACAAAGGGAAGTTTTAAAGGTGAAAGTGAGAAGTTTATGTAAGCTACTTAGATACTAAGTTCATTGATCTTGGAGATGCATGTGGTGCTGGAGGGAGATGCATGTGGTGGCATGAGTTTATTGGTGCAGATTCCACTGCTGGGCCAGTATTCTATGGAGAGACTCTTGTTTGAATTGTTGCAGTATTAAAGAACGTTAAAGATCAACTTTGTTACACAAATCTGTGCATACATGTGACTGCAAAGCACAGAGTATGTGTAGAATGAGGCATGTGCTGGGCCTTTGAAAACTCCTTGAGAAAGTCCTTATCTCAGATAGACAGACATGGGTCCTCCCCCTCATAACTTCCCTCTCTAATTTTGTCTGATTCCGACAAGAAGGAGTTTGTCCTCATATCAACTTTCACAGTCATTTTTCTCTGGTGTAGATATTCAAAGACCTGGCACTGTGGGAAGAAGCAGAGCTGTCAAGAACTCTGCTTTATTTATATTTGATCATCAAGAAAGCCTTCAGTCATCATGAGGTCCAGCAGAAGACTACAAATGTACAAATTGGGAAAACCATTGCCCTCCAGTTCCCAGGAGACAAATCTCCCTTCTCAGCTAACTGCTGGGCACTGCTCCCTGCTGCCTCGCTGTTAACCCTCCTCAGTTCAGAGGCTGCCAGGCAGGCTTCAAGTGCTGGCTGCCCAGAAAGGTGCATTTGTAACTCTAAGCAGTTTGCCACCTTCCCCTCTGAGCAAGCAAAGGGAAGGGATTATTAGCATGCAAGTACAAGTTCTGTCACACAAAAGAGCCACATTGGAAAAGCCCACCGCATTCCTCCTCTAGTTGTTCAAATAAGGGCAGCTAGTGTAGCAAGTTCAGCCCTAAGAAGTTTATCTGAAGTGAGTTTCCAGTCCTCTCTGAGTACTTGGAGTTAAATCCCTCACCGTTTAGAGGATTTATATGGATTCAATTTTTCCAAATAGTTTATGCTTTAGTTTAAGATAACAGAACTATCTTATCTCTCTCACTATTTATCCATTAAAAGTCCTACAAGCTTGGAAGCATTTGGAAACAGTTAAACTGCAACATATTGATTTTTTCACTAGTGGAAACCATGATTTGGAAAAAAATAGTACCACCTCTGTGGTTCAACCTGTGATGTCTATGTTTTTAGGAATATTAGCATCTTATTCCTAGCTTAATTTTTAGTTTTTGATGCTTTTTTTCCCTCTCCACTCCAAGTGTGGAACACACACCAGAAATTTTTTTTTTAACTAAATTTCGTACTTTTTTTTTAATTTAAGCAAGGTAAAAGAATGTCAGAAGTCATTCAGTTCTAGCAATACTCCTTGACATTAGTCATTTTACTTATCCCATTCTGACTTTGATTTCTCTCCATTATCCAATTGGCCTAAGGATGTCTTGCCCTCAAGTTTTCCTGAAAAAGCAATTTAATGAGATAATGTAGATGAGGCTCCTTGAAAAGTTAAAAAAGTTTCCATAGAAACCAATATAAGCTTTATTCACATTTATTTAGTGTTCTTTTAAACACATATGGTGGCCTGACGTGTATTATTTCGTGATACCTCAGAATTTGTTTCCAAATGTCTCTGGCCATGGAGTGTGAAAATATTACTTATTCAAACTAACAAGCTGTTTGACAAGTTGAAATCTATGTTTAACTTGGTTGTTTTAAATTTCAGTGATTTAAATCTCAGTGGTTACTAGTATTCAAGATAAAAAATAAGAGTGCTAGAGTAGGCACAAATAATGGAAAGTTTACTACTTTAAGGCTCATAAGGTGAGAAAAATTGAATGTAAATATTGAATTTAAAGGCTAATGATGCATATTTTTTCATAAAATATTTTTAAGTCCATGTATTAGATCTTAACACAAATTTACAGAATTAGCAAGTTCTTACCTAATTTATCAAATGAATAGCAAATTTTATAAATTTATTTAGCATTCTGCTTTAAGACTTAGATACTCTAGCAGATTATTTATTTATGCTAACTAAAACTGACTTGAAAGATATATTGTCATCTCAAAAAAATTATATCTCTTTTAAAGAGCAGAAACTGCCCATCTGATACTCTCTAAAGAGACGGTGGGGAAGAGTCGCCTCTGTGCCGCTCTCAGATCTCCATGACTCTTTCATTCTTTCTGTCTCCTTCTCCTGACTTTTTCAATCTTTCTTCCTCTTTGTCTCTAGGGAGAAGTCTCCAGTGGTGGATACCCACTGAAAAACTATCCGGAAGAAGTAAGTTTTAAGGCAGCCTTCAAAGCACAGTCTGAAAATAGTCTATTGTGTATCCTGAACACTTACTTGTGCTTTCTTCACCTACCTGTAGCGCTCCTAGTCTATATATGTGCATTGGTTGTGTCCACAACAACAATATGACAATAAATGTCCTCAAAATAGCTTTTGATTATCATTGGTTGATAGTTCCTGTGTAGCAGTTCAGTCATCTTGAGCATGAACCTAGTACTATCACATATTTCCATTCACAGATATTTGCTGATACCCTGATGAAAGTTCGATTGTTCATGAAAAGAAAAGAAAGACCTCATCAATGATTTTATGGAAAGAACAATCTAATACTAGGTTGACATTCATTCCTGTGGCAAATGCTCATTCAGATGACATTTGACAAGGTGTTACACACCTTGTGTGTGTTACAACACAAAGTGCTGTCCCAACATTAAAATATGCAATGGAAGTCCCTTGAAAACCCCTTTGGATTCTTGGGTTTATTTTTGGATATATTTTGGGGTATTCTGTGTCACAGAACTTTGGACTGAATACTGAGTATTTGGGAACTCTCAGAAAAAAACAGTGGATAGAGTTCCCAAAGCTTGATCTGGAGATAAACCACAGTGGTCACTTAATTAGCCAGCTGAACCTGCTGCAGGTGAAGGGGTATGGGAAGCAGTTTGGTGATGGTATTTTAGCATTACTAACTACCTGGTTTCAATGTTACTTCTTAGCAGGCAAGACTCTGTTCCTATATAACTATTTTTGCATGTGTGAGTCCACTCAAAAACCTGACTCTGCTGTATAGTTCATACATACATACATGCATAGTTTATTCAGAATGTGTGTCAATACTGAAACTCTCACTTGCTTCCATATATCACTTGGAGAGCAAAATTGGAATGCATAAACACCCCTTTTAGTTTTTTTTTTTTTTGTACTTGAGATTAAACCTAGGACTGCTTAACCACTGAGCCACATACCCAGGCCCCTGGCACCCCACTTTTTAAAAATATATTTTATTTAGAGACAGGGTCTTCCTGAGTTTCTTAGGACCTCACTAATTTGTTGAGGCTGAATTTGAATGCACAGTCCTCCTGCCTCAGCCTCCTATGCTGCTAGGATTGCAGGCATGTGCTGCCATCCCTGGCTGCCCACCCATTAAGATTTACATACCTATTTAGTGGTAGTTGAAGCTTTGCCAAAGACCCCTGCAGAAAGAGTGACCAAAGGAGAAAAAAAGAAACGTCTATATAGCTGTTTGAATTCAGGTTAGAAAAGTCAAAATATATAAGGCAAAAAAAAAAAAAGAGTGGAACCACAACCCTAAATTTCAGTTTAAAGAATTTGATGCAGAGATTGAGTAGAAGATGTTTAGCAACTAGCACAGCAATTAATGTTGCCCACAGGAAGGAAGATACTATTTTTGAAGTATTCATCAGTAGAACCTCCCTTTAGGATTCTGTGGTTGCTGGGTTCTGCATTGCTCACTTGTTGGTAGGGTTGGAGGTGGCTGGCCTCCTCCACAAGTAAGGTATCTAATCCCTTTCTAATGTGTCCTGTCTGGATTTAACACTATGGAAGAAGAGGAGCCCTGAGGTGCTGGTATAAGAAATGGGCTGTTAACTACGATGGAAACACTACAATAAGACTTATTCTAATTTTGTAATTCTAATTCAAGAAAAGCACCTGATTTTCTCTGTAACTACCAATGCATTGCAATGTAAGTGTGCATGCCATATATAAGCATGAATCCTTTATTTGGCAAGAAGGTTGAGAATTTGTGCCTTCTCTTGGGATGTGCTTGAAGGTCATTGCTCCTCAGAGAGGCCCTCTGACTACGTCAGCATTATCTCGGGGCTTGTAAGAAATACAAGGGATTGCTGGATACTTAAAGAATTAAAAATCATCCTACCAAGATCTCTGTGATTCATAAATACCCCAGGTGGTGAGAAGTACAGTTCTAAAGAATCCTTTCCAGTATTATTTCTGGAGATTTTTGTATATTGTGGTTATTACCAGCAGCATACCCCAGGGGCTTAGCCTGGGTCTTGGCTGACAGAATGCAGCAGTGTGAAGAAATAGGCAAACAATGGAAAAAGGAAAAATGTATTTTATACAGTTTGATGGAGATTGCTTCTTCCTCCACCAGCCCCACTGAATCAGTCACAATTTATAGAAACAAAGCCAGGTGATACCCAGATGTAGATTTAGTTAGTCTGTGCTAGACAGTTCCCAGTATAGGGGGATCTCCACTTTAACCTCTGTGGTCTCTGCCAGGTCAGAGCATGCAGCCCTGCAGTCTCCATATGAGCATAAGGAAGTTGAGTTCAATTTCAGAAGGACCCCCAACTTCAATCTGTTTCATAGGAAGAAGTTTTATGTAGCAGCTAAAGGTAAAAAATGTGAGCCACAATATGATATTATTTTTGTTCTTTTTCTCACTTAATGCTCTTACATTTACTTTTGCCATTTTCCTTCAGTTTAGTAGAATCAGGAAACAATAAACAACATTTAAAAAATGTTAGATGCATTGATGTTAAAAGCAAGCTAGCAAACATTTGCTTTTACTTAGTACACACAAAAATTCAAATAAATCACAGTGTTTACATTTTTAAGATATTTAACATTTCTTGTTGAAGTTTGAAGAACTCTTTGCAGATCAAAGTTTCTGTTTTTTTTAAAATCTAGTCTTATACTAAGGTAGAATCATAACCATACAACATTAGTCAGTTTTGGTTAGACCTGAATCAAAACTGAAGAGAAAATATATTCTCCCTTAAGAGTAAGGCTAAAAGATAAGTTTTATTCTATATTTTCTACTTGTTAGTGTGTTATTTTTTCAGGATAATATTTGTGTTTTTGACCAAATAAAAATGATATATTTTATAATAATCTACTTTTCTTGATCTTCAAAATATCTCTGATAGTTAAAAAACTTACATGCTCTTCACTTGCTAACTCAAAAGTGGAATCATAATTTCATAACAGAATTTTTAGCTTTTAGAATGATAATGTTATTGCTCAATGAATACTATATAGATAGAGTTGAGAACAACTTAACAAATTTAAGCATAAATCTTGGTTGTTACACCTTTTGTAGAGAAGTTAATCTCTTTAAAATATCACATTTCCTAGATGAATCATTGGGAAGCAATATGGTACACTAGTTGAAAATCGCCTACGTAGTAGTGAAATGTTGTGATTTAAATATATATGCATGAAGATAAGAATTGTCACCTTAAGCAGTTAAGAATTTTTAAAGAACCCAAGAAGTTAATGATTTTTCAAACTTTAAAGAGCAATTTACAGTGGTCCTTACAACTTTGGGAAGCTAGTGGTGAAGGCCAGAACACCCTCAAGGTCACCGGCAAGTGGCAGCTTCACAGACTCTAAGGGTGTCAGACAGGGAGAGAAGCATTGGAGGAAGGCAAGCCTCTTTTGAATCTGTCAGCTTGATTTTGTGAGCCCTTCCATCTGAAAGGGAAAGGTGATCAATTCTCTGAACAAAATATCTTAGAATCATTTCTGGCCAGTTTGTATTGTTTCTCCTGTGTTGTATTCTGTGATCCCCAGCATACTGAAGTTCCAACTCTATTTCTGGTGGGGAACATATGACATTATCATCTATAATAAGTAAGTAACTTTATTTTTATCCTTCTTAGGGACTTCTTTGTTAAAAGCTGAAGCCAATTATTATTTATTATCACAGTTTTATTTGGCTTGGTTAACTAGGAAACAAGTATGTTTTCCCCCAAAGAAAATCAATTTCTCATTGACAATCATTAACAATAGATTTATGTTGTTCAATAGCAACTTTCAAAAGATTATAATAGTACTGTCATACAGATGCAAACTGAAGACATGTCAAAGATTTATGTAAGTAATAAATCAGTGAGGGAACAAGTAACATGTTCAAAGGAGAATTCAAACTGTCACATATGCAGACAAATAGGGATGCTGAAGTGAAGTTATAAATAGATGCAAAAACTGTCAAAATAGAATCATCTCAATAGGATAATAATCAATTGCACTATAAAAGAATGAAATTGAATTTCATGTAGGCAAGAATATTTGGCACTTTTATAATTGTCTATAAAAATATAATTATAAAGTAGCTAAAGTCAATGAAAGATCAAGAGCCTCTATAGAATTAGGTAACTGGAAGTCATGTTATAAAATGGCTTTTCATTGACTACCCCTGACAATTTTTCTTCCTTTTTCAAGTCTTTGGCAACTTTACTTTGCAATTTGCTTGGAAAGGAAAACCACCAAATGCAATGAGTTAGAATATAGGATGGAGTGTGATCATAATGCATTGTCAATATAGCCAATATGTCCTGTAAATTTGAGTAGTTAATTTTGCAATGTTTCTTACAATCTACCATATTTTTCTAACTTTATTATTACTCCTCTCTTCTTTTATCAGATCCTGTTATTTCAAACTATAGTTCCCCAAACTTGGTGAATTCTTTTTTCTTATAGTTTCATTGTCCTTTTGCAGTTCTTAAAAGAAGTGGGCTATAGAATCATACTTTCACAGCTTGGTTGTATGGGTTCTTTTATTAATAAATATAAAAAAGAAAGTTATTCACAAACTTTGCTAATTTAACTACGTCAAATATATGTAGGAAATTTCCTTTTCTTACAGGTACAGGGCCAATTCTTCATCAGTAGAAGCAGTCTATTCAATGTATCTAGAATTGAGTGTGATTTTGTTTTGCTTTATATATACCATGCTTCAGGGATCTTTTTGTTTTGTTTTGTTTTAAGAGATTCTGTGGCTATAGAAGTAAAATAAAAATTATTGAGTCTTTCTGAAAAGTGGAAACTAATGTTATTTCCATACTTAAACATACTTATATCAAGAGGAAAGAAATACTTAGTTAATTCAGAATTTAAGTGTCCACTAGTGAAAATTTGAACAAAGAAACATTTTTTTTTCCTTTCTAAGTATACAGAACTTCCATAGCCACATGTGACATAAATCACTGATTGCATTTAGAGAATCTAAAAATAAGCTATCCATGTGGAACAATACAGCTGAACTTTATAAAGCACTTATTCTGTTAGCAGATAGAATGATATGTTGATTCAGGGCTGGCAACTGTTTCCCATATGATCCATGTCACTGTTTCCCACCCCTCCTAGTTACTGGACATTTGCTATACTCACAGTGAAAGTGTTTTAGAAAAAGAATGAATAGTGTTTCTTCTAAAAGCAGCCCAGAGAATTTACTCTTGGGAATATGAAAGGGCTTGTACCGAACTCAGACATAGTTTAAAGTGCCTGTAGAAAATTTTTGAATAAACTTAACAAAGAAGAATGCATCAGCTCTTGTGTATAACATGTTCAAGATTTTACCTCCTTGACCCCATCAGAAAGAATTATATGTAGACTGTTGGGCTGAGCTTTGGACATGTCCTATTGGCACTGATAAAGCAAACAGGTGCATTATATTACTAGCTCTATTCCAGGGAAAACCAAAGTAAAAGAGTTGTATCATCATCTATTAATAGTAATATTTATTCTATGTTTATGATTCTAATAACTCAACATTTTCAAGTTCTTCCCAAACTACATATTTTTCTAACTAATGTTCCATTTGTACTTTTTATAATTTACAATAAACAAAGAATAGTTGGATGCTGCTTATCTTCTCAGGAGTAAGGCCATTAAACCCAGAAACCAATCAGTACTACTGATTAATATTCTGAACTATTGTGGGGAAAAATTGACATATGCGTCACATCTTTTCTTATGAGAATGGATTTTAGTATTTAGTACAAAAGATAAATAACTTATAATTTATTATTAGGTAGAGTGCTTGCCTAGTGTGTATGAGACACTGTTTGACTCCTAGCTCTGTAAAAAAATCTTTATCATTATTATTATCATTTTATATATTTGTTTATTTATGCAGAACAGCTGATTGAACCCAGTGTCTTGCACACACTAGGCAAATGCTCTACCACTGCGCTACACTGCCAGCCTCAAAATATGTTTTCATTAGAATAGATTTTCTTTTGATCACTTTAAAATTTTCTCTTTTACGTGAGGAGCCCGAGTCTTTTGTTCTTACCTTAGAACACCAAAACCATCATTTTCTTTTGTATTTCTTTAAACATCAGAGACTGCATGTTTTTTTTTTTTCAAAAAAATTCAAGAATGTGATTTTCCCTCTGTTACATGTGAATTTTTGTAGTTTTACTTCTGCCATTATCTCTATAGTTGTGGAATTTTAAATCTAAGTTTTTTCAGTTTTTTACTGCTTCTTTGTATAATCCTAAGGTCAAATCTAATATGACAAATTTTAAAAGATTAAGCTAAATCATAAAAATAAATATCAATTAATATTTATTAGTGTATTGAATGTCTTTAATGTTTTGCAAACTTTCCCTTCAGTAGCTCATCTGGTACCTCCCACATTCAATCACATAAAGAAGAGTGGAGACCTAGATGTGGACCAGTTGTTAAGGACTAGACATTGTCTAATCTAGTACCTTCACCCTCTTCATGTTGTCCTGAGAGGAGAAGTAACTGTCCCAATCTAAACAAGATTAAAAAAAAGAACAAAAACGTGTCTCCTCATCTCTAAGGCAAGGACTTTTCCCTGCAGAGCTCATGGGTCATTGGATAAGAAAGTTTCAATCCAAATAACAGACTATCTTCAAGATCTGTTGAGGCTAAAAATTTCTGGTGTTTTCATTTTAAAATGAAGATCATTTTCAAAATATTAGTTTGCTTTGTCTTTTATTTTTAAAGTAAGCCTTTTTATTTTAGATCAGTTTTAGATTTGCAGAATTAATGCAGAGCTAATAAAGAGATCCTGTATACCTCCTACTAGTTTCAAGTACTATTAATACCTGCTATTAGTGTGGGATTTTTGTAATAATGAATAGGCCATTATCAAACATTCTTAGTAATGAACTTCTCACTTTGTTCAGCATTCCACAAGTTTTTCTTAATGTCCTTTTTTTCTGTTCCAGATTCCATCCAGGATACCACATTGGATTCTCTAGTTCTATCTCCTTAGGTCCTTCTTGATTGTGACCCTTTCTCAGGCTTCTCTTGTGTTTCATGACTCTAGAAATTTTGACTTTCGGCTAGTCAAGTATTTTGACTAGTACTGGTCATATATTTTGTTTTTGTCCTTCCGTTGATATTTGTTGGATATTTTTCCTCATCATCAGACTGGGATGATGTTTTTAGAAAGAACATAGATATAAAATTCTGTTACTCAGTCCCTGTTTTGTGGCAGGTACTATAATAGATGGAGGAAATGCATAGGGGAAATATTTACCCATGCCTTCAAGGACCTTCTAGGCTACTATGGAGACAGTGGGTTATTGAGAGTATGATTACTGTAGACTCATTGTGATATGAGTACCTTAAACACTTGAAGGAATGGAAGAGCATCCTGGCTTTGGAGTACTGGAAAGCCTTCTAGCAGAGGTGACACTGGAGCCTTGGAGGAAGAGTGTTAATGTTGGAGAGAGATAAGGAACTGCAGTGTAAAACACCCTGTTAGATAGTAGGATATGACAAAATTGATGCTACCTGTTAACTACAGTGGAGTGGTATATGTGGGTTGGAGATCAGGCTAACGGGTATGGATCCTGATAGGCCTTGAGTTAGACTCTGGGAACAATGAGAGAACCTTTGAAAGATTATGAGCAAGCTAATGATAACATACAGGCTTCTAAAAACACTGAAGTCAGAGGAAAACAGTAAGAAAAATTAGAGAGATTACAAAAATTGGCCATAAAATTTTTCACAGATGGTTATTACTACAGTCAAAATGGGAGATGGTTGGGATGGGGACATAGCTCAATGGTAGAGCATTTGTGCACCATGCCTGAGGCTCAGTTTAGTCCTCAGGACCACAAATGACACCAGTACCAAGAACAACAAAAAATAACATGGGAAATGGTGACTTTCAGTTAGTGACTGAAAGGAAAGAAAGCAGTAAGGAAGGATACAGGGAACATTTTTACAAAAATCATGAGTAGAATCTGGATATAGCGGTGTGCACTTTTACTTCCAGCAGCTTGGGTGGTTGAGGCAGGAGGATCACTTGAGCCTAAGAATTCAAGACTAAAACAGAAAAAAAAGCTAAAAAAAGAGGAAGGAGACAATGAAGGAATACTGAAGGGCAAAGTTGAGTGAAGTGTTGTTCCCCAAGTCCTACCAATCTGTTTTCTGATTAAAAGAAATTGAAATGATGTTTGGAAAGAGGCACATTTTATGCAATTTTGTATTCCATAAAATTCATATTTCCAAGAATGAGTGTCAACATTGCTATAGAAATATTAACAGGAAAATAGTCTAGATATTTCTTCTTGTTAACATTGTAAATCTTATTAAAAGGAAAATGTAAACAAAGGTAGTTTTGTGACTCATGTCTATGACATGAAAACAAATTTAAACTTCCAGCTCATCTCTAACATAGAGGAGTGCTTCTTAGGGTTTTTGAAGATGCAGTTTATAAAAGCAGAGTTGTTCACCCATACTGGTGCTCCTGATATCAGTCTAGAGTCTCACCAAAAATAATTTGTTTTCTTGCAGGATGAATCTTTAAAGCAACTACAGGTACTTCATCAACCATGGCTATTGCCAAGTGACACAGAGAGTGAAGGCGTCGAGGCAGAACAAGACAAACGTGAGTAGACACTGCTGTTTATTGACAAACTGCATTTACCAAGAAGAAACCCACAATAAAGGTATTTAATTTTCATAGCATTAAACAACTTCTGCAAAAAAATGTGAAACTTGATTATAGAGAACATTTTAAAATAAACTACACTTCAGGTTCATAAATTTGATTCAGTGACATCCTAATTATGATATAAAGGTCCACAAACTAACTTTCAAAAAAAAAATTATTCTTCTTGAAGACTAGCATGAAATGCTCTGTTAAAATGTGAATCTTCTATCGATATTGTAGAATTATATCAGTGACAACTTGCTATTATTTAAGGAGCTTAAAGAATGTTAGGATCCATTTATTATTTATATAAAATTATCTTGGTTGGTTAAATGAATAAATTTATATTAAATTTATAATTACAAATTTATGAATATATAAATATATATAAACTAAGTCCATAAAATAAATTATCATAGATTTCTTTTGTGATACCAGAGAATGAATCCAGAGGTGCTTAAACACAGAGCTACATCCCCAGCCCTTTATGTTTTTTTATTTTGAGACAGAGTCTCACTAAGTTGTTGAGGTTGGCTTCAAACTTGTGAACCTCCAGCTTTAGCCTCCTGAATCACTGAGATTACAGGCATGTACCACTATGCCTGGCATAATATATAATTTAAGACAAATAGAATATATGATTCTTGATTTAAGTTTCTGGGTTATTATATCAAGACAAGGATCCCTATACTGTGACAAGGCCCCTGTCAAGCTCTGCAGGGGATTAGTAACAGACATCTGGGTTCAGACATTTTGTTGAGAGGTTTGTGTTTGGATTATATAGAAATAGCACAAACTTTTAAATAGTAGCATATATAAAACTTTTAAAACCAATTGTAGATTGCAGAGAGAAATAACTATGTTTCAGGTATATGATAATGGCCCTCATCATAGCCAGTGTGAAGTTAATTAATAACTCTCCTGAGCCACATCCACTAGAGATAGCTAATGTGATATACAGGTAACATCAGGATTCCATATCCTGGGGTCCTAGCAGGAAACCACTCTCACAGGCTTAAAGGCATTAAGAACACCCTATTCCACTTCCATAGCCATAGGTGTATGTGGAGAGAGGGAGCACAGGAAGGAGAGGAGCAAAGTGACAGGATGCTTAGATTTGAGGAGGCAGAGGGCCCCTGTGTCACTCCACCTGTGTCCTTGGAAATATGGTGAAAACCATGATGACATTTTATAGATTCTACTGGAGGGGGAAAAAACACCTTCAATATACAACAGATTTTTGAAGACTCTGAAAGTGGATTTCACTTTAAACAAGTGGAAAAGTAAAAAAGAATACATTGGAAGGTCTAAAGCAAGAAATTCTAAGTAAAATGGTCTAGAATCAAATGATTTGTGGTACAAAGAAGAGAATCTACAAATCTGAAAAAAAATAATAGTGGTCCAGAACTTTTATGAAAAAAAAAAAAAAACTCAAACACATATGCAACCCCCGCATACACACACCATCTTACATATATTTAAATATACAAAGCTCTTACTCTAGAATTTGTGTTCAGTAATTTTCACTAAATTCTTTTGAGGCTTTTTATAAATGTTGTATTAAAAAAATAAGAAAAATTTAGGCATCTGTATTTCTGTTGTCTAAACATTAAATATATATACACACACACATACACACACACTAAATACACACACACACATATACACTATCTTAATTATATATGTGCTGTATCTAATTAACTAGAACTTAATATAGAAAAGTATTTGTCAAGCCAGGCATGATGGTATACACCTGTAATCCCAGCGGCTCTGGAGGCTGAGGCAGGGAGATTGCAAATTCAAAGTCAGCCTCAGCAAAAGTGAGGCAGTGTCTCCAAATAAAATTCAAAATAGGGTTGGGGATGTGGCTCAATGGTTGAGTGCCCCTGAATTCCATCACTGGTACTCCCTGCAGCCCCCACCAAAAAAAAAAAAAAAAGAATTTATCAGAATAGTACATTCTATCCAGTTCCAGATTTCAATTTATTTCCTTTATTCCAAATCCATGTGTCTACAATAAGCATTAACCCCAGAAAACAGCCTAATAATATAAAAGATACAAAAATACTCAGAACTTTCTTCAGTCTTTGTTATTTGATACATCCTGCCTTTCTGCATATCTTCATAAGATTTTGAGAATAAATGTCATTTTCTCCTCTTCCACTAGGTGCCGATTATTTCAGAGAGTCCATTTGTTTTCTTGATCTTAAAGGGATTCATAATAAACCCTCAATAAGTATCAGTTAAATTAATCAGTGAGTAAATAAATGAGTTAAAAAATGAATAGAGGGCTGGGGATGTGGCTCAAGCAGTAGCATGCTCGCCTGGCATGGGCGGGGTGCTGGGTTCAATCCTCAGCACTACATAAAAATAAAATAAAAAGATGTTGTGTCCACCGAAAACTAAAAAGTAAATATTAAAAAAATTATCTCTTTCTCTCTTTAAAAAAAAAATTTAAGAAAATGAATAGATTTCTTTGGTGCTTTCCTACTTATCAGGACAGTTGGAAATTTAAAGCAAACAACTGTGACTTTAAATAATTGTTATAAAATTATTTATGGTTTTATTATAATTTTAATATTGGATTCATTATTTTATCCATGGATTTTGTTGAATGGTTTATCAATCATTCTAAGGAAGACCATTCCTGAACTCTTGTAACCAGGGACCTAGAACCAAAAAGATTTGATCTCAGCAATATCATACTGGGCACTGACCCTTGACAATGGTAAACTGTTTGAAATAAAATCAGGGTTTAAAATAATTAGGTGGTAATCATAGCCATCTGGAAATGGAATGCTAGCTAGCATTGTAGCCAGGCTCTTTGCACAGATGCAAATATTTTTCAAGAATAACTTCCAACAGCCAAGTGCTGGGACATGTGCAAGTTGGATCCACTGAAGCACTGATATCTCCACTTGCTCTCAAAGCCTATAGTTTGTGAAACAGCTAGAAAGATCCATGTACATAATCTACCTCTATTTTCCCAGTGAAAGGAAATAAATGACATAAATCGATGTGAACCCAGCATCTAATATAGAATTTATAGGCTCATATACTAGAAATTTATGAGTCAAGAAGAGGAGAAGTTCATCATTCCAACAGTAACACCTGTTTCTTGACTCAGCTTTCTGTAAATAATGCCTAAGTAATTTTATAGATTTCTCCATTTTCTCCTGAGACAAAATTATCATGGCAGGAAGTTTCCAAATAATGTCAGTTGTTTTCAGTGGTGCATATTTCTTATTGCACCATTTTAAAACAAGATTGATCTCAAATAAATATTACAAAAGAACACTTTTTAAGAAATGATATCAGAAGCAATTAAGTGGGAAACTTCATAAACTTTTCTTATAAATGAGTTAAGCAGAACACTTAAGTAGATTTTTTTTTTGCTTTTAGTGGAAAAGTATAAATTATAACTGTATAAATTAAACTGATTAATTAAATTAAACTGGTGTCTAGGGTGTTTTTAATTTGTTTTTAATCTCCCACATTATAGTCTAAAGTCACTAAATTAATAAAAATAAGGATGTTAGGATCTACTCAGGTTCTCCATATTCTTAGACTGTACTTCAGACCTATTGACAAAGAGCTTAAGTATATGGAACTCTGATTTCTGCATTTTGAGTAATTCCTCAGATGATCTTTGCTTTTTCTAAGATTGAGAACCACTGGGAGGGAAGGTTCAATGAGTCAGGAAGTTTTTTTAAAGAAATGAACTCCACAGTGCTGTTCGACTTTGGATCTTCTTTCTGTAGGCCTCTTCCTCACCCATTAATTAAGTTAGTATATAAAATATGGAGTGGGAGAAGAAAGAAGACTGAAATTTGGAGGAATAAGTGTGGAGGAAAATTGAAGGACAGATCCTCCTTCGATGCTTACCAAGTCAAAAAAACAGAAGACATCTAGACACCATTCAGCCAGCATCCTCTAACTTCATTTTCCATTTTTTAAAATTATGGATAACCCAGCTAAAAATGAATGGGAATAAACAGAAAATGAAAAGCAAACCAAACCATCAAATCAACACAGATGCCCTAAATCAAGAAACAAGAGTTGGAATGGCATGTAGAAGCTAATGATGTCAAGATACATTAAGACTTCAAATTGGAGGCCTGAAGTTGTAATGTTTATCATAACAGATGATTTGCTGCTGGGTCTGCGTCAGTGTATACAATACTGTGCGAAGCCTGCACCCTTCGGGCTGCCTCAGGCATGGAAAGGGAAGGAAAATATCTGTAGTCCTCAGCTGTGGAAAAAGTGAGGAAGATTGCTATCTGTACTGGACTTTGGATGAAATATACAGTTCTGTATGAGAAAATAAACTCTTAGGTCTGTACTTCAGTTGTTGGGTTTAAAGGTAAACTCCCTATGTTGGTAGGAACCTAATTTATAGAAACAATTGGCCATCACCATTCAAATTCATAGGATCCCTTTTGTATATAAAGGCAAAACTGGGGCACTCACATCTCACAGATTTTAGTCAACTTTTGCTGAAGGTAAGCTCTCATCCAAGATTTACAAACTGTATGAAAAATTGTAGTAACACCAGGGAGAGTCTGTGGATGCTAGGAGCAATAGAATTACCACGTTCAGAATGGAAAGAAATAGGTCAATCTGAAAGAGATTGCATTAAAAGAATGTTTGAAATACTTAAATATCTAAAAGAGAATGAAAAATACATACTGAAAGAACTAGAAAGTGAGAAAAAAGACATATTTAAAAGAATTTAAAACATTCAGACTAAAAAAATCATAACATTAAAAATTGAATCAATGTGTTAAATAGTTCTTTACAACTGTGAAGAGTGAATTAGACAAATGAAAAATGTGTAAAAAATAAAGAAGCCAGGCACATTGGTACACACCTAACCCCAGATACTTGGGAGGCTGAGGCAGGAGGGTTGCAAGTTCAAGTTTGGTGTGGGCCACTTAGCAAGACCCTGTCTCAAA